CACTTCAGGGAAATCAGCCCTTGGTAAGGGAGTATGTGGCCCCCAGAAGCCTTGGCAGAAGGGCAGCAAGGAATTACTGCTGGAAGAGCTGGGAGTGTCCAGCCTGGAGAAGAGAAGGCTCCAGGGAGACCTTAGAGCCCCTTCCAGTGCCTAAAAGGGCTCCAGGAGAGCTCCAAGAGAGGGACTTGGGACAAGGGCCTGGAGAGACAGGCCAATGGACAGTGGCTTCCCACTGCCAGAGAGCAGAGTTAGATGGGATATTGGGAAGGAATTGTTGGCTGTGAGAGTAGTGAGGCCCTGGCACAGGTTGCCCAGAGAAGCTGTGGCTGCCCCATCCCTGAAAGTGTCCAAGGCCAGGTTGGACAGGGCTTAGAGCAGCCTGGGCTAGTGGAAGGTGTCCCTGCCCATGACAGGGGGTGGAACTGGATGAGCTTTAAGGTCCTTCCAACCCAAACCAATCTGGGGTTCTGACCATACCTGTTGAGCCTGAGTGCATGCTCATAAGCCAGTGCTGGGAACAAGGCCTGGATCCTGCAGTCAGCTCTGCATGGAGCAGCTCTGGAGCCATCTCTGCTCCCTGTCCATGGGATGCAGAAAGTGGAATTCCCCGGGCTCAGGCTGCAGAGGAATGGGTCAGTTCTCATGTGTGAACACACACCGGGGTGTTTGGCCCTCCCAGTCTCCTTCTGTTCTCCCTGTCACGTTACTCTGCTGTACCAGGTGCTGTTTGTTCTTTTCCAGGACCTGCCCTCGTTCACACAGAACGTGCACAGGCTGGTGAACGACCTGCGCTACTACAGACTCTGCAATGACAGTTTGCCCCCTGGAACTGTGAAGTTATAGTTGCTGCACTGGACTCCTCTTCCACCACTGTAGGGAACGGATCCACGTTTCGGTTTGCCACCACCCCCTCTCCTCCCGGGATTTGTCAGTGCTGCAGGACATGGGGTCCTGCCCATGGCCACGCCCTGGATTCACACACCACGCTTCCTTTTAGTTCTCCTTTCCCAGCCCAAAGGCCCTCAGCTGGAGTCAGCAGGATGTGTCTTAACGCCCACCCGTGGGGCATCCCAACTGTTGGAAAACCCTCTCCCCGGGCTTTCCTTCTGCTCTAACGTAGCACTTTGTTGCGTCCGGAGATTTCTGTGGAGTTGTCTTGAGAGATCATGTCGGTATCAAACACGAGGCAGAAGCGCCAAAGACTAACTTCAGACATTCATACCTTCGTGTCATTCCACCTCCCTGCCCTGCCCAGCTTTCAGAGGAGGAGTCTCCTGATGTTGGGACTGGTTTGGCACTTCTGTCACTCCCTTTGTTTTTAAATTGCCTTGAAAACCTCCCCGATGTTTTCGGGGATTAGAGACTTTTTTTGGTTTTTTTAAACATTTTCTCATCATTCCATTGTGATACTAAAACGACATGCTTAATGGGAATAAAGTGCTTACTTTGTTGTTTTAAATACTTGGGACTGGTTAGTTTCCCTCTAGGCCATTCTGTTAATGCTTTGTGATGCAGGCAGTGATCCACAGCCTTTCCCAGGATCAGTAGTAAGGAGCAGCATCCTGTCCAGTCTCCCAGCAAGTCCAGCAGCTCCTGGAAGGTGCAGATTAATGATAGCTTCTTCCTCCTCTCTCCTTCATCACAGAATTTCAGAATGGTTTGAGTTAGAAGGGACCTTAAAAACAATCTCATTCCAAGCTCCTGTTCACACAGAGCCTGTGTTCCCTGGTGTTTTCTGCCACACTTTGGGCTGATCCATTCGTTCCCTCCAGCAGACTGTTGTCTGCATCAATCATGAAGTACCTGCAGGAAGAAATCTCCCCACATTGCCAGTGATCACAGGAACTCATAGCTGAAGGCCAGCAACTGGCCACTCAGTGATCCTGTAGTGGCATCTGAGCAATCCAGTGCCCAGACAGGCAGGACCAGATTTTGTGGAGCTTGTGGATCCCTGATCGTGCAGCTGGGAAGGTCTTCATTTTTAAATTTAATAGATGAAATTGGAGAGGGACTTTTCACAAAGGCCTGGAGTGACAAGGACAAGAGGGAATGGCCTGAAGCTAAAGGAGGGCAGGGTTAGATGGGATGTTGGGGAGAAATTCTTCCCTGGGAGGGTGGTGAGGCCCTGGCACAGGTTGCCCAGAGAAGCTGTGGCTGCCCCATCCCTGAAAGTGTCCAAGGCCAGGTTGGACGGGGCTTGGAGCAACCTGGGCTGGTGGAAGGTGTCCTTGCCCATGGCAGGGGGTGGAACAAGATGAGCTTTATGGTCCCTTCCAACCCAAACTGTTCCATGAGTCTGTGAAATCAGTCTTAATTCCCTGTAGTTAATGGGCAGCTGCAGCTGGGGCTGCGTGGTGGGAACAGCACCAGTTACTGGGAAGGGAGTGCAGCTGGAAGAAGTGGATCACATTTGGAGATGTGGATGTGAGATGACTGCCTCTGAAAAGCTGTGAGGTCCAGAGGGTGAGTTGGAGTGTAGCACCATTTACCCCATGGTTCCTCTAGTTACTTTTGTGGAAAACACTGTGCGTGTTTGCCCTTGGGAGATAATGGATGCTGTTTGGATGACCTGTGCAGAGCCCTCCATCCAGGCTCTGAACTGGGACCAGTTGGATGTTTGGGCTCTCTACCCTGCCATGGGCAGGTGAAGCAGAGTCCAGCTTGCCCAGGATGTGCCTCACCTGGTACAGTGAGGTGCAAGTGAGGACTGAGGTGTGGGTGGTGATCTGCTCCCAGCCTTCCCTGAGCTCCCTGCCAGCCACACCTGTCCCTGAGTGCTTGGAGGAACTCAGTGCCACTATCTCCATATGTCCCCTCCCAGGCTCTGACAGGGGCTTGGCCCCCCCCTTCCTTCAGCTTTAGGAAGCAGGCTTGAAGCAAACTTCCATGACCTTGTCAAGCTGCTCTCCCGTGAGGTGTCTCTGGAGTTTGGGGTGCAGGGGAAGCTCAATACAAAGTGATTTCCCAGTATGGGGGCTGAGATGGGGCTTGGAGAACTGAACAGAGGGGCTCCCATCTGGGCAGTGCCTCTGTCCCCCATGGCCTTAACACCCCTTTCCCAGCACCCACTCCATGTCCAGGGCAGCCCTGTGTCCCACAGAGGGGGCACACTGGCCTGGGTGCTCCACACTGTGCCTCTTCCCCTGGGCTGGGGGATTCCTTGTGCCCCAGCTCAGGCTGGCGTGGGCTAACCAGGACTCTCCTTGCCTGGACACCGGGGGCGGCAGGTCTGGGGCTTGGCAGGGTCTGGGTCCTCCCGGCACGGATTTAGGCTCTGCTCCCACCAGGCTTGAGATTCCAAAGCGGGATGCTCCGGAACGGAGAGATTCCCCGGACCGGGATGCTCTGGACCGAGAGGATGCTCCGTGCCGGGATGCTCCGTGCCGGGATGCCTCTGTCCGGGATTTCCCGTGCAGGCGCGGAGGCCGCCCGGCCCCGGCGGCTGCTTTAAGGGGGACGGAAGCCTGACCCGTTCCCTGGCTCGGCCGCGCCCGACCGCGGCAGGTCGACCGCCGGGCCGCATGGCTCCTGGGCCGCTGCGTGGCACGGAAGCCTCCCCGCGGGGGCCAAGCCGGGCCTGAGGCCCCGGGCCCGCTGCTTAACGGCTCCGGTGAGACACGGCGTCCCTGTCCTACCCCTGGGGACACGGTCCCGTCCCTTGGGACCCGGTCCCTGTTCTTTTCCAGAGGACCCCGTCCTCCCTGCCCTGTCCCTGGGGACCCTGTCCCCATCCTCATTCTGTCCTGGGGATCCAGTCCCCGTCCCTGTCGTGCCCTGGAGACCTGGTCCCTGTCCTATTCTGGAGGACTCTGTCCCCATCCTCATCCTGCCCTGGGGATCCCGTTTCTGTCCCTGTCCTACCTCGGGGGACCCTGTCCCCATCCCTGCCCTGTCCCAATCCCTATATTCCCTTCAGCCCCTTCCCTATCCTGCCCCTGGGGACCCACTCCGGATCCCTGCCCTGCCCCTGGGGACCCTGTCCTGTCCCCCTCCTGTTCCCAGTCTGTCCTGCCCCTCGGGGCTCCTGTCCCCTCCTGCCCCCGGTGGCCCATCCCTTCCCGGTGCTCCCGATCCCTCCATCCTGGCCGGGTCCCAGCCCGCGGGGTCCTTCACTCCTCTGTGGTGTGAGTCGGTGCCAGGGTCTCCTACCCCATCCCCGTGTGCCAGTGCGGGGCAGAGGCCAGAGCTCGCTGCTCCCTGAAGGTCCCGAGGGGTTCGATGTCCCCGGGGCTGTGATGGAGGGACCCCGGAGCTGTCCTGGGGGGACGGGGCAGGATCCCGGCAAAGCAGGATGTCCAGCAATGCCCAGAAAAGGGGGTGAATTTTCGGGGTGGTTTGTCTCACTCTGCCCCCGCCAGCACCGGGGCTACCCAGCCCTGCAGCCCAGGATGGGAACCCGAAGGCTGGGGCTGATGGTGAAATGCCCCGGCTTGGCGTCCTCTCTCCCTCTCCCTTCCTCTCCTTCCTGTCCCCTCTGTCCCTTCAGCGGACAGGATGCAAAGTCCCTTGGGGCACTTCTGTCCCCTCCTGCAGCGCAGCTGTGGCAGGGCCCGCGGTGCAGTCAGACCCTGCTGCCCGCAGTGCTGTGGGTAAGAGCGATGCCAGACCCCTCCAGCCCACCGTGCTCGGTTTTGCTCTCCACCAGTGGACGCCGTGACCAGGGACCCTCCGGGCAGGGGGAAGGACCCGGGGCCGGGCAGGAGGCAGGGTGGCACCCGCAGCCCCGGCCCGGGCACACGGCAGTGCGGAGCCATCAGCCAAAACCAGAGACAACACTGGGCCAAAGGGGGTTTCCTGGCTGGGGACACATCCCCAACACCCATCAGGGCTTTGTGGCAGGTCCCTTGGGTCTCTGCTGGGACCCCGCCGGCCTGAGAGGCACAGCTCGGCCAGAGGCCGCGCCCGCGATGGGATGGGGACGGGGATGGGGACACGGACGGGATGGGGACACGGACGGGGATGGGGGACCGGACGGGGATGGGAGGGGGACACGGACGGGGATGGGATTCCCTTCGGCAGCCGCCGGGACGCAAGCAAAACCCGTGGTGCCGCGGGGGCGTTTTGGGGTCCTGCCGTGCGCAGCTGTTCCGCCGTGTCCGCGGAGCGTAACGGCTGCCCTCGGCGGCGCAGCCCCCCGGAGCCTGCGGGAGAGACGCTGGTCCTGGCAAGCCGGACGCGGTGGCAGCGGCGTCGTGGGGAACATCATCCAGCGCTTCGAGCGCCGCGGCTTCAGGCTGGTGGCCATGAAGCTGCTCCAGGTACCCGTTCCTGCAGGGAATGCCGCTCCACGGCCGGCCGGGGAGTGCCGGGAGGGGGTGCCGGGGGGGTGTCCCCACTGTCACCCCCCGCTCCCGTCAGGTGGACCAGGGGCTCGTGGACAGGCACTACCAGGAGCTGCGGCACAAGCCCTTCTACCCTGCACTCGTCACCTACATGACCTCGGGGCCGGTGGTGGCCATGGTGAGGGGCCAGGCCGGGGGGCTCGGGGGTCCCGGGGGGCATGGAGGGCTCAGCTGTCCCTGTCCCGCAGGTGTGGGAGGGCTACAACGTGGTCAGGTCCACGCGGGCCATGGTTGGGGACACCGACTCCGTGGGGACCATCCGGGGGGATCTCAGTGTGCACATCAGCAGGTAGGGCAGGGGGGATGGTGGTGGGACCCCATGGCCGTGGCACTATCCCCACCCCTGTCCCCTCACAGGAACGTCGTCCATGCCAGTGACTCCGTGGAGACGGCCCAGAGGGAGATCGGCTTCTGGTTCCAGCGGGACGAGCTGGTGGACTGGGAGAGCAGAGACAGGGACCACACCTACGGGCCCTAGGGATGGACCCCCGTGCGTGGACACCCCCAATAAACCCCCGTGCCTCCAGCCCTGGCTCCGGTCTCATCCCTCAGATGCCATCAGCAAGTGCTGGGGGGCTCTGAGGGGTACTGAGGTGGTACTGGGAAGCTCTGGGAAGTGCTGGGATGTCACTGTGAGGTGCTGGACTGTCCCTGGGGGGCACTGGGGTAGCACTGGGAAGCACTGGGATATCCCTGTAGAGGCACTGGGATGTCCCCAGGAGGAGTGGGGTGATACTGGGAAACTCTGTGAGGCACCACGGTGTCCTCAGAGGGCACAGGGCTGGTACTGGGAAGTTCTGGGAGCCACTGGGATGTCACTGGGAGACTGGGGCGATTCTGGGAAGCTCTGGGATACACTGAGGTAACACCAGAGGGCACTGGGGTGTTACAGAAAAACTCTGGGAGGCACCGGGCTGTTCCCGTTGGGCACTGGGGTGTTACTGGGAGGCTCTGGGCGGCACTGGTGGGCTGCAGTAGCCTCTGTAGGTCGCTGGAAGAGACTGGGACACAGAGGCTGGGCTGTCAAGGGACACCGGGACACCACTGGGTGGCACTGGGAAACACTGGGATACCACTGTGATGTACTAGAACACCACTGGGACACCACTGGGATGTACTGAGACACCACTGGGAAACACTGGGACACCACTGAGATGTACTGGGAAGCAACTGGGAGCACTGGAACACCAATGGGATGTACTGAGACACCACTGAGAGCACTGGGACAACACTCGGACACCACTGGGTTGTATTGGGAAGCACTGGGAGCACTGGGACACCACTGGGAAGCACTAGGACAACACTGGGATGCACCACTGGGGTGTACTGGGAATCACTGGGAGTACTGGGACACCGCTGGGATGCACTGGGACACCACTGGGTTGTACTGGGAAGCACTGGGACACCACCGGAACACCACTGGGATGCACTTGGGAGCACTGGGAGCACTGGGGCACCACTGGGATGCACTGGGACACCTCTGGGAATCACTGGGAGCACCGGGACACCGCTGGGATGCACCGGAACACCGGCGGGAATCGCCGGGAGCACTGGGACACCTCTGGGATGCACTGGGACACCGCTGGGAGCACTGGGACACCGCCGGGAATGGCCGGGAATGGCCGGGAATGGCCGGGAATGGCCGGGAATGGCCGGGAATCGCCGGGAAATGGCCGGGAATCGCCGGGAATCGCCGGGAGCTCCGCTCCGCCCGCGGTGCTGCAGCTCCCGTCGTGGCCGCTGGGGGGCGCTGTGGCCGCCCCTGGCTCACGCCGTTGCCAAGGGCGACGCGGCGGCCGCCGCGCAGGCGCAGTGCGCGGTGCCCCCGCCCGTCCATGGCGAGGCCGCCATGGCGCGGCGAGCCGCCTCCGGACGAGGAGGCGGACGAGTGTCTGCGGGAGTACCGGCACCTGCTCAGCCCCGACTGCTCGCGTGAGTCCCGGGGCCGCGGGGGTCCACCGCGCCGCATCCCCCGGGGCCCGGCTCTCACCGTCCCTCTGTTCCCGCAGGGGTCAGGTCGCCTTCATCACCGGCGGCGGCTCCGGCATCGGCTTCCGCATCGCCGAGATCTTCATGAGGTCCGGACACCCCTCCCTCCCTCCTTCTTTCTCTCCTTCCCCTCTCCCCTTCCCCTTTCCCTTCTCTTCCCCAGCTGCGGTGACGGGCCCTGGAAGCCCCGGGGTGTGAAGCCGAGGGCAGCAGAGCCCCGAGCAGAGCTTTGGGCAGGAGCGGGACTGGCTCCGGGGCTGCGGCTGTGGGAGCAGGACCGGCCCCGTCCCAGCCCGGGGCAGAGCTCTGGTTCTCTCTGCGGGCTCGGGGCCGCAGCGGCTCCTCCAGGGCCTGCCCACACTGCCGAGGTGCCGGTGAGGAGCCGGCGCCACCCGGCCCCTCTGACCAGCCCGTTCCCTGCAGGCACGGCTGCCGGACCGTCATTGCCAGCCGGAACCTGGAGCGGGTGTCCGAGGTGAGTCTGGGAATGCTTCCGCCCTCCCCGGCTGCAGCTGGGAGCCCTGGGAATAGTGCAGCAGGAGAGAGGACTTGCCGGAGCTGCCCTGTCTCCCAGCTCTGAGCACTCCAGCACCAGCAGCTGGTGGTGCTGGGCAGGGTGCCTGCAGGTTTAGGGGGGCTGCACCTCCTGGCACAGCTCAGTTAACCTGGAACCTGCTCTAGGGGGGATCTTCCACACATCACGTTGGCTTTTTCTGGGTGAGAGAGGGAGAAACAAGATGAGGTAGAGGTTTGTCAGCAGAAACGTGGCAGAACCCAAGGGCAGACTTAAACCTCAGCTTGGAGTAGTTCCAGATGCCCTTGTGCAAGGGTTGTGTTGGTTGAGGTGGGTACACTGAGCCTCAAAAGCTCCTGTGTTTTGGGGCAGAGGGGAAGGTGCAGGTGTGCTGTAACTTCATGTTCCCTTATATGCTAGAAAAAGCTGCAAAGCTCAGCAGGTTTTAGTCCTCTGGGTCACAGGCTGGGGCTCCTGGTGCTCAGTGCACCAGAGTGTTGTTGGGGCTCAAAGCCTCTCACAGAAGGGGCCCAAGGAGTCCAAGCAGGGAGGTGGAGTGTCACTGGATGTTGTGCTTAATTTGCTAGGGAAAATCACTTTCTTAATGAGTCTCAGGGGTGGCTTGTGGCAGACCCTGAGCTGCAGAGCTGGCCCCTTTCACAGCTGACACCTGCCTGCTCTGCCTTTGCCCTTTTGCCCACTAACTGTTTGGACCTAAAGGTTAATGATGTCTGTACTCATGCCAGAAATGCCTCGTTGGGGTCCAACCTTTGTACTTGCCCTGCAGAGATGTTTCCTGGGGTGTGCTGTGTCCATGGCAGGCCACAAAGATAACTGAGCTTAGCAAGTTGTAGCCTCAGGGCCAGGCCAGCATCCAGTTTGGTTGGGACATGATGTGCAGGAGTTTTCCCTGTCTACCCCAGGGCTCCCAGGCTGCTGCCAGGCAGGAGCTGGCCATGTTCAGACAGGTCTCTCCCCTGGCCACGCTGTTTGCTGTGTGCTCACAGGGATGTGGCTCCTCCCCGACTTTGTGCTCACCTGATACAAGGTCTAGGTCCAACCCCTATTGAAGAAAGTCCCAGAAAGCTTCTGAAGTCTCTTTTTATTCTTGCAGGCCTCCAAAAAGCTGGTGGCAGCCACAGGGCAGCAGTGCCTGCCTCTGTCCCTAGATGTGAGGCAGCCCCAGACCATCGTGGCAGCGGTGGATGAGGCGCTGAAGGAGTTCAAGAGGATCGACATCCTCATTAACGGTGAGGATGGAGTGGGCAGGGGGAGGATTTGGGACAGGCTTGCTACTGGGAAGGGCATGTTCCTGCATGGGCCTCCCTGGGAGCACGGAGGTTCATGGTGCATGGCCATCCCTGTTTGCCTGGACTGGACCCTCCCTGCCTCTGCCCTCGGGCTGGCCGTGCTGCTGGGCACCTGGAGCCACCAGCGTGTCCCCATATCAGGGCTGTCTCCACGTGCTCGCCAGTCTACCCAGACTGTATCCCTCGCCCTGCCTGTCAGAGAATTGCCCTGAACCTGTGGGATCTCTCCTGGTCTTGTTCTGACTGTTCCTGTTGTTCAGGTGCTGCAGGAAATTTCCTGTGCCCAGCCAGTGCCCTGTCCTTCAACGCCTTCAAGACAGTGATAGACATCGACACCATCGGCACCTTCAACACCTCCAAAGTCCTCTTTGAGAAATATTTCCGGGTGAGTGGCACTGGAGCCAGAGGACTCGGAGGAGAGGCTCTGGTAGGTGGGGGGTAGTGTCAAACCATACTGTGCTCCTGAGGAATTTGGGGAAGTGTGGAGGGCACAAGGGAGCACAGCAACCGTGTACTCAGGGCCGTGCTGCTGGGCCTCTGCCACCCACTCTGTGCAGATCCATTCCATTCCCTTCCAGGGATCCCAGCCCTGACCTGGGAATCCTGCTTGTCCTTGGGCTTTGGGCTGTTCCATACTCTGCCACCTGAAGAACCTGTGATCTGCTGCTCCTTCTCCAGCTCTTTTGCTTTTTCTTGTCCTTTCCTTGTTCCCTGCATGTCCCACCTTCCTGGCAGGGCTCCTCTGACTGCCCCAGCTCTGAGGTTGGGTGGACAGAGCTGCCCCAGTGATGGTTTGGCAGTGCCTGTGGGTGACTGTCCCTCCTAACCCAGCTCTGCTGTCCTCCCTATGTGACCCTTTGTGCTGTTTCCTAACTCCACATCTCCTTTCCTTCCCCAGGACCACGGCGGGGTCATCGTTAACATCACAGCGACCCTGAGCTACCGAGGGCAGGCCCTCCAGGTGCATGCTGGAGCTGCCAAGGCTGCTATAGGTACTTCAGTGCTCCCTGCTGGGGCTCTGAGTTGTGTGGGGCCAGTAAAAAAGACAGTTCTTCCCAAATGTTGGGATGGGAAGATGTCCTGGGGAGGGGCAAGCATGAATGGGTGTGGTTACTGGATGCCTGGGTTTGGGATGAGGCTCTTCCCTCTCTCCCAGGGTCCTTTGTTCTCAGCCAGAGTCTTCTTTTTGCCTGCCCTCCACCCCCCAATAAAAAAGTTACTGGAATGGCTCTGCTGCCCATGTCTCATTCCTGTTGTAATCCCTCCCCAGATGCCATGACCCGTCACCTGGCTGTGGAGTGGGGACCCAACAACATCCGTGTGAACAGCTTGGCCCCAGGACCCATCACGGGCACCGAGGGCTTCCGGCGACTGGGTGAGGCAACCTGGGCTCCCATCCCTGCCTGGCATCTCCCTGGGAGGGGACCAGGGGGACCCCCAGTGCCAGTGTTGCTGCTGGGCAAGGCTGTCCTGTGGGCTGGCACGTCCCTGTGGGGGAACAGCCCTTTCCACAACCCTGGTACCTCCCAGGGCACTGTTTTTTCCCTTGAGTGGCATCTTTTTGTGCTCTCTGATGCCATGATGGAACGTGCTCCCCCAAAACTCAGCCTTGCCTGATGGTTTGGCTCTTGTAGTCCATCAGGGGAGTGCTGGTGCAGCCCTGGAGGCTGAGAAAAACATGGAACTGTTGGAGTGAGTCCAGAGAAGGCCATGAAGATTCTGTAAGGGCTGGAGCCCCTCTGCTCTGGAGCCAGGCTTGGAGAGCTGGGGGGGTTCACCTGGAGAAGAGAAGGCTCCAGGGAGACCTGAGAGCCCCTTCCAGTGCCTAAAGGGGCTCCAGGAGAGCTGGAGAGGGACTTGGGACAAGGGATGGAGGGACAGGCCAAGGGGGAATGGCTTCCCTGCCAGAGGGCGGCAAGGTGTTAGGGGATATTGGAAGAATTTTCGTCTGTGAGGTGGTGAGGGGCTTCCCAGCCAGAGAGCTGTGCTGCCCCCCATCCCTGGAAGTGTCCAAGGCCAGGTTGGACAGGGCTTGGAGCAACCTGGGCTAGTGGAAGGTGTCCCTGCCCAGGGCAGGGGGTTGGAATAGGGTGAGCTTTAAGGTCCCTTCCAACCCAAACCATTCCATGATTCCATGATTCTAAAGCTCTCTGAGGTCCTATGTTGAGCTTGCTGTGTCAGTACAAACCCCACTGCTGGGCCTGAGCTCCCCTCCTTTAGCTCTCCCCAGGTTTGTGTCCCCAGGGTTGTCCCAGGATCCGATTGCAGGTCCCTGGAGCACTGAACAAGCCCCACAGGCAGTGCTGCAGTACCTGGCAGGCTGTGGTGATGGGCAGGTGCTCCCACGATCCAAGCTGACTATTTTCTGTCGCTTTTAGGTGGGAAATTTGCTGAGAAATCGAGCCTGTTTGACACGATCCCCCTGCAGCGCGCGGGGAACAAGACGGAGATTGCCCACAGCAGCCTGTACCTGGCGAGCCCCCTCTCCTCCTACGTGACAGGAACCACCCTGGTCGTGGATGGTGGGAGCTGGCTCACCTCTGCCAACAGCTTCTCTGCCTTGCTGGGTATTGCCTCATCCTCTGCTAAACTCTAGGTGACGTGCATTTCCCCCCGGGGGGTCGGAGCAGGGCTCCTCAGGGAAACACTTTCCCTGTGGAACAGAGCACAAGTCTGATGTGGAGCAGCTGAGGGAGCTTGGGGGTTTAGCCTGGAGCAAAGGAGGCTCAGGGGGGATCTTCTTGCTCTCTACAACTCCCTGACAGGAGGGTGGAGCCAGGGATGGGTCAGGCTCTGCTCCCAGGGAACAAGGGACAGGACAAGGGGAAACAGCCCAAAGTTGCACTAAGGGAGGTTTATATTGAATATTGGGAAAATTTCTTCACTGACAGGGTGGTCAGGCACTGGCACAGCTGCCCAGGGCAGTGGTGGAGTCCCCATCCCTGGAGGGATTTAATAGCCATGTGGATGTGGCACCTGGGGACAGGGGTTAGTGGTGGCCTTGGCAGTGCTGGGGGAATGGTTGGACCTGATGATCACAGAGGGCTTTTCCAACCTAAACAGTTCCACGATTCTCTATGTGCATGGCTGCCATGGCAGTGGGTATGGTGACCTCATGGACACTCCTAGAGGTGACTAGGAGTGTCCATGTCACTCCTAGGTGTCCTTTGAGCCTGCATTGTGACATGGTGTTTCTTGTCATTCCCACTGGATGCTTGTCCAGACACCTCTGAGTGTCCCCCAAAGCAACATGATGTCCCTTTGCTGTGCCCCAGCAGCAGGATTGGGCACAGAGGGTCCCAACAGTCTCTTCCTTGTGTGTGTTCCCCCCAGGCTGTCAGGGAAAGGGGTCTCCTTCCTTCCCGTCTCCCCTGCCTGTGTCCCACCCAGTAGCCTCCATGAGCCGGGCCTGGCGAGGCAGGACTGTGTCCCCACCTCCACATTCTCTTGCAGATTTCTGGTCTGCAGGAGCAAACCAACCCCAGTGATGGACAGCGTGGGACTGACCGATGGACAGACGTGACCGAAGCTGCCCGGGGACCCCTCGGGGTGACACCTGTCCCAGAGCAGGTGCCCATGGCCATGGCCTCTGATTGGTAACTGGGGGTGGTGGTGACACTGCCAGCCCTGTGTCTGCCTGGGGGACAGAGCTCAGGAGTTACTGGGTGGGGAGCAGTCCCACACCTATCCTGTGCCTTGACTGTCTTCTGAGCTGCTGTGGCTGAGGGTGCAGGGACAGCACAAGGGGTGAGGCTGGGATGGTCACTGTCCCTTTGTGTTCCTCTGAGCTGCTCTCCTGGCCTTTCCCAAGTCCCAGGCAGTGCTGCCCCGGGATATCCATCCTCTTCTGCCCCCATCTCAGCCTGAGAACTGCCCAGGACCCCCAGCAGCAGCTCCTTTGAGGGAGGGGGAGTAGCTCAGCTCACCTGGGGTCAGAATCACCCAGTGTGGTGGGGCCAGCTCTACCTTTGCAGCAGGATCCAGCAGCTCTCAGAGGGGAAACAACCGGCCCCTGGCAGGGGGAAGTGGCCTCATCCCCTCCGGGAGTCCAGAGTGGGCATCCTGAAGGCTGCCATGGATGCAGCCAAGGTGCCCCTCTCCCAGGAGCAGAGCTGGTGTGAAGGCAGATCCTCCCAGAGGACTGGGGTGCCAGCACCCTGGGGGCACACACTGCTCCCATGCAGCCTCCTGCCGCTGAAGGCAGCTTTTAGCCTCACTCTGAATTCCATGAAGCTTGTTTTCCCACCTAATTGTGTTTCCTACTTGATTGTAAACTTGCCAGGTTTTGCTCCTTCCTTCAGGTCACGAATAAAGAATTTGCACCCTGAGCAGTGATGCTTCTCTCTGAGCAGGAGCAGCTTCAGCACCCACACCCTGCCCTGGCGACTGGTCCTGGTGTTGGGTCCCGAGGGAGGGGGGAAAACCGCTGCTCCCATTGCCTTGTGTGGCCCCAGTCCTCAATGCTGTGGTGTTCCAGTGCTCCAGGCCAGTGGGACGGGGGGACCTGCCCCCTCCTGAGCCCCAGCCTGCTCTGGGAAGGTGGTTCCAGCAGCCAGAGGTGACAGGGAGGTGCTGAGGTGTTCGGTGAGAGACTGACCCCTTCAGAGGGATGGGGATGCAGGGCTTAGGTTGGGATCTGGGGGTTGTCCTTTGCCCAGGTCTCCTGGGATTTGCCTCCCACCAGGATATCCCTCTTCCTAGATAACAGGACATGTATTTTCTCCTGGAGAAGGTACCTGTGTGGGATGTGTTGGTCCTCGCTGACCTGCATCCCTGTTCTGGGAGTGTCCGTGTGTTTTACTGTCATATTTAACCACAGCCAAGTGACTTGGGCACTGTCAGGGCTGTCCTGGCTCTGTGGCCACCAAAGGAAGAGGGAACCAAGCCCCTGGCCACGTGCCTCCAGCACCAGGGGAAGGACAGAGCTTCGAGCCCAGCCTTGGGCCACGTCCTGGAGCTGCAGGAACACATCGAGGGGTGCAGAGCTGCTGCTCACAGCATCAGGCTGGGCCCTCCAGCCTTGTGCAGGCTGGATCCCTGGGTGCTTGAGCTGTCTGGAAACTCAGAGTTGTAATGCCCAGGGGATTTTGCAGGGAGTGTTTTAGGCAGGTGTCTTCCAGGGAGAGCAGCTGTGCACTTCCCCCTGTGGGACTGACAAAGGAGCCCCCTCCTGCCTTGCTCACTTTTGGAAATGGCTACAATGAGGAAAAGGATTTGAAGTGGAGGTTTCCATCCTTCCCAGCACTGGACTGATTGGACAGGGGTGATATCCTCTCCAGAGATGCTGCTGAACTCCAGCTCTTGGGGTCAAGCTGTGAAGCTTTGGGAAAGCCATGCTGGGGGACACATTGTGGCCCAACCAGGCTCAGCCCGAGCGGTCCCACACATCCATGGCCTGGGCAGGGTCACTGTGGCCAGGGATTCTCTTGCTCATCAGGTTTGCTGCTAATTATACCCAGGGGCTGTAATTCCACCTGGTCAGCCAGTTCACGAGTGTGTCAGTGGGGTCATCCCAGTGCTCCAGCAGAAATGGCCAGTTGGCTGAACCCACAGGCTGTGAGCCCTGAACTTGGGCATTAATCCATGTGGTGGTCCCAGCTCTGTGTCCCAGTGCACAGTGCCCCTCACCAGATGGGGCTGGGAGTCCTGGTGCACGGTTCATCCCCCCAGAGGGGTTTGGGGTCCCAGAGCATGATGCCTTCCCTGGAGGGGTTTGGGCATCCTGATTTATGGTTCATCTCCCAGGAGGGGATTGGGGATCCAGGTGCACGATTCCCCCCGGAGGGGTTTGGGGTCCCAGTGCACGGTGCACCCCCTGGAGGGGCTTGGGAGCCCCAGCTCACGATTTCCCACGGGGGGGTTCAGACATCCCGGTGCACGGTGCTGCCCCGGAGGGGTTCAGGGGTCTCGGTGCACAGTTCCCCCCTGCAGAGGTTCGGGGTTCCCGAGGCACGGACCGTTCATCCACGGAAGGGTTCGGGGGTCCCGGTTCCCGCTCCATCCCCGGGGGGGTTCGGGGGTCCCGGTTCCCGCTCCATCCCCAGAGGGGGTCGGGGGCCGGTTTCGCGTGCCCCGGGGGTTCGGGGGTTCCGGCCTCCCACGTGCTCTGCCGGCGTAGCCGCCTCCCGCCGGCCCCCGCCGCGCACGAGGCAGGGGAGGGGCGCTGGCTCCGCACGGTCGCGCCGCGGCGGGGCGGGACGCACCGGCAGGCGAGTGACGTCACCCCCCGGCCTACTGGGCGGCGGCGGCTTGGATCTGGGCGGTTCTCCCGCGTGCGGCCCGAGCGGGCGGTGGGCGGGCGGGCGCGGGTTGTTTCTCGGCGCGCCGCCTCCGCCATTGCCCGGCCCCTCCGCAGCGCAGCGGGTCCCCGCGGGCGAGACCGGCGGGGCCGCCCCCGGGGCCGGCTCCTCGCACAAACGCCGTGTGTGCGCGGGGAGCGCACGTGCACGCCCCGATGTGAGGCGGGGCATGGCCGCGGGGCATGGCCCGGGGCGGGCGGCGGCGGCCGCGCAAGCGCCGCGGTGAAACATGGAGCGCGTCCGCCGGGACCGAGCCCCCGCTGCCCCGGGGCCGGGACGGGGCCCGGCTGGAGCGGAGCTGGAACGTGGAGCCGGAGCCTGGACCCGGCGCTGTACCGCGGAGCCGGAGCTGGAGCTGGAAACGGGAGCTGGACCTCTGGGGCACTTGAGCCCGCCGTCCCGACCCGGGGCCCGCCGCCCTGGTTCCGGGGTGGCCGGGGACAGCCGCGGCCCCGGGGGGCGCGCCGAGCCCCGCCGGCGGAAGGAGCCGCGGACTCCGGCCCGTCTTCGACGCCTGGACCGCGACGGCGACGGCTTCGTGCGGGTGACGGAGCTTGTGCAGTTCGCCACGCCTACGGGGCCCGAGCAGGTGGCCGGGCCGCGACGCACCGGCCCGGCAACACGTCTGCCCGGCCTGGGCCCTGCCTCGGCACGCCAGCGCGGCCACCGTGCCGGGGGTGCCGGTCCGCCCGCTTGGTGGTGATGGCTCTGTCCGTGGCTCGTGTCCGTGGCTCCGGCCCTTGGAGGAGCCTTTCATGTCCGCAAGGGCATCGTCTGCGCCGCCCGCCCCGCTGCCGTCGCAGGTGAAGGGCACGCGTGGGCCCGAATGGCTCCCTCTGTGCCTCCTGCATCCAGGAGAAACTGGAGCTCCTGTTTTCCAGCGCCCAGTCCGCTGGGAACAGCGTCCCGGCAGTGCCGCTAGGAACCGCATCCCCCCTTTGTTCTCCATCATTAACGCGTTTGGATTTCTCTGGGCAGTGGTGAGATCCCGGGATCTGGGACTGCCCCGTGCCCCCCTCAGTGCCGAGGCTCCCCTGTTGGCACTGCACTGGTTGTGGATCACCTCGAAAATACCTTATGGGTGGCATCCCTGCTCACGGCAGGGGGTTGGAATTAGATGATCTTTACGGTCCCTTCCAGCCCAAACCGTTCCGTGATTCTGTGCTACCTCGCTTATTCCAACTTTGACAGCTTGAATGTGTATTTTTCCCCCTCTTCCTGCTGCTTTGTACCCCGGCGAGCCTGTGTTTCCCTGCAGCAGATGAGATGCAATATAATTTGAAGCTGCCTGGTATGACCCAAAATGGAGCGAGCTCTGGCAGCACCCCTTGGGATGGAGATGCGTTTGTTGGTATTTTATTCATTGGCCTGTGCTGGCATCGCTACCAGGAAAAGGGGATTTATTTTTTTTGAGGCGTGCAGGTATTGCTGTGAAGTTTCTCTGTGCGTGGTCGGATCTGCTCTCATCCTCCAGCCGGAGCTTCTGCGCGTGTATTTAAGTGCCATGACAAAGCAAATCATGTGTGAAGAGGGTTTTGCTGGAGGAGGGCTTTTTATCTCGTGCTGAAAACACCTCTTAAAGATAAAACAGAGGTATTTATTTCAGGAAATAGCTCTGTAAAGCGGAGATAGACAACTTCTTTGTTGGTGAGGGCACTGTGTGTGCAGAAGATATTGCTGGCAGACCCGTGTCGTGATTACAGATTCTTTGGAGGGAGTTCCAGAAGCACCTGGGCTGCTCCTGCCTCTGCCAGGTGAGAGAGGCTTTGTGCTGGACAAAGCACGGGCACTCCGTGCCTGCCGGCCCCGCTGCTGTTCCAGCACAGGGAGCAGAAGCAGCCGGTCCGTGCTCGGCGGAGGCTCCCGGACCCTGCGCAGGGTGCCCGCGGCTCCGGGGCACGTTGGCACCTCAGCAGGGCACCGTTCATTGCCCTGTGCCTCTGCACTCGGCGTGGAGAGCCCAAGGACGCGGGCAGTGGGGGCACAGAGGCGTGTGGGTGGCAGGGGACACGGCAGGGGACACGGCAGGTGGCTCTGGTGCTGTCGGTGCCCGTGGCGTGTGCGGCTCAGAGCCCGGTGGGAATTGTGCCAGAGCTCCAGAGGTGCCACACTGAGCCTGTAAAACACTCCGAGATCGTGGCCTGAGGAGTGACTGCAAGGTGTTAATGTCACTCCTGAACTAAGCAGGATGTGCAGGGAGGCGTTGTGCTGCCGGGAGCTCTGTCTGTGGAGCCAGCTGGGAAGGGCTGTCTGCAGGCTCCTGGCCTTGCCTGTCCCTTTAAAGTTGCTTGTTCCTTCCCCCTGAGCACAGCTACCGGTAATGCTGAAGCATATTACGCTTTTTTAACACCTTTCTCTTCAGCAAGAGACTGGCACAGCCAGCTTTTGGGGTGCAGAACAACTGAGCCTCAGCACAGTAAGTGCTGAGCACCCTGGGGAGGCTGATGGGACAACAGCTGAGCCAGCAGGTACCAGGCACCCTAGAGGGGTGTTGCAAAGGCTTGGCAAAACAGGAAAAGTGATGTTTGTGGTGAACTGTGTGTTCCAGAAGACTTGGTGTGAGTTTGCAGCTTAGAAAAGCATGAGGAGACACGGAGGGAGAAGGAGGAGGGGGTTGGTGATGGGGTCTGTAAGCTCCCAGTGGATGATGGAATATCCTGAGTCAGAAGGGACCCACAGGGATCATCCAACTCCTGGCCCTGCACAGGACACCCCAATAATCCCACCATGTGCCTGAGAGTGTTGTCCAAACACTCCTGGAGCTCTGGCAGCCTTGGGGCTGTACCCACTGCCCTGGGGAGCCTGTTCAGTGCCCAACCACCCTCTGGGGGAAGAACCTTTTCCTGAGATCCACCCTGACCCTCCCCTGATGTGCAGAGTAATAAAGGGAGGAGTTCTGGGGAGGTTTCTTGACTTATTTTGTTGGAAGCAGCTGTAACTTGGGCCCCAAAGGGGTATTTTGGAAAATGGAGATCCAGCTCAGGTAAAAGTTAAAGGGGAGGAATATCACCAGTAGGTAAAATGGTGTT